GTATTCCCAAGCTAAACTATTTTTGTTGTGTTGTACTTTTGTAAGACGGAAACAACACATGCAAATGTGACATCCTTCTTAACACTACATGATGATTACTTTTCTATAATTTCAATGCGCAAAGACTGCTAAGTGATTAAAAACAACTATCGTTGTGTATTGGTTCGATGCCAAGAAAAACTATATGACCGTCCGCCGAATGCAGCAGTAAGTTMTTTATTATTTCGTATTCTTTAACTGTATTTAAACAGACAGACCTTATGTTTTTATATATTTTAACATAATACATATAGTCTCTGCAGGGCAGCGACCGCGTATATAAAAATAATATTTTGCCTTATAATCATTGTCCAGTCAAATTTTCACCATAACCGCAATTATACCGTTGTCGTCGGCTATACCAGTGGTTCTCAACCATAGAAGACCCAATTTTGAGTTACAAATAATTTTAAATGCATCGCTTACATATTATTATAAAAAAAAATTAAAAATTAATTAATGTATTGATATAGGTATAAGTATCTAATATGAGTGAAAAAAGCAAATGAAGATTAATAGTTTCTTTTAGTTATATTAWAATTGAAAAAATTAAGGTCTCGGGGGCTGGTATGTAGGATTATGTTGAACATTATTTTCAAAAGAGCTGAATGAAAATTGGGTAAATATTTTGAGTCACCAACACACAAAAGTTAAGAAACACTAGGCTACACAATATAACGCCACTCTATAAAGTATAGAATACTCGTATATATTAAACATGAAACTTATGAGATCCAAACCCAATATCCATTTAATATAATGTAATGCAACAAAGTGCAATAGCGCTTTGTAATTTATATTAAAAATCGTTATGTGTAACACAACTATCATATAATATATATTTTACTAAAGCGGCTAGGCTATATAGATATWTGGATTTCATAAACCTATACACGAGTTATCAGGGCTAATTGTAGAGAGGAATAAGCGGGACCATTGCCCAAAACTCCTAACCAGATAAGTGGACTCCACAATATTTTTTTAGAAAACAAATAAAATTATTGAAAATAATTATTTATCTCGATTTTGTTTACACAGCATCTGGGGAGTATTAAGATAGGCACAAGGGGCCGATGCCCTTCCTCTTATCCACCGTAATAAGCCTTTTATATTACTGAGAGCAGGTGCTGTCTCTAATTAGGAGTAACATTTAAGTGATATGYAAATTCTCCGCTCAATCCATKACATTTGCGTTAATCCTAAATTCTGAATAGTGTGATGTTTCCAACACATGTATTGTAATATTAATATTAATAATGTACTCAATTTGTTTGAGGCCCCCTTCCATTAGACATTTCTAAATTCGCYCCTGCACAGGATTGGAATAATAAAAACTTCTGTTAACTAAGTACACAATTGAATCATGTTGTAATCCGCCCGCATGTGTTACTCCGTCTTACTAATGCATAACATAACAAATATGAAACAGTACATTCTGAAAAATTAATTTAACTCTATTACTTATAATTAATTTTAGAATGCATTGACTTGTTACAAAATTTAGAAGTAAAAACATTTGGATCTAATATCTAGTCAATGACATAGGCTGTTTTTTATATCTAAATTTTAATGTCAGTAATAACCATTTTTAATGTACAAACATGAAACAAATTACTATTTTGAAATGCTCATATTATTATTACACAATATAGTATTACATATAGTTATTATTTATAATTCATATTTTCAATTACTGAGAGAGAAAATTTATAAGTGGGGGCATACACCAAGCACTGGACCCGGAGGCACCAAATCATAAATCTAGCCCTGGACGTTAAGTTACGTAAGGACTAAGATTTAATAGCTACTAACTAAGTATATACTAATACTCACAATACAATGTATCATTTTAAAACCTTGGACGAGCGTGTTTTTACACAAACTGGTAGTACAGCGTCAAGCCGTGATACGACCGCGATGGACGATTCCGTCAAACCACAATACTGTTTACAATTGCAGTGTGTGTTTGTCGTTTATGCCGTGAAAAACGTTGCACGCCGTTAATATTATAATATGAGGTACACCGTCACAGTCGAAATGTGTGACCTCATATTTGCGTAATACTTCATACCGGTGAATCGGAATGTCTGCCAGAATCATTCCCCGCAGAACTGCAGAAGTAATCCAAGTTAAGGGACGACTAATATTTCGATAATAAATAACGGAGGCATGAGGGCTAAGTACGTGTGTTTTCCAACTATATAGATATTTTGGTTATAAATAATATAATATGTTAACAGTCTTGGATTAGAATTGTATATTGTAAATATTACCGTCCCACTACTTTTTCCACTTGTCCGAAGTACAATTATTCTACTATAGGCTATAGCTTATCGAGAAAGAACTGTGTGTATTCCAATCGTAAAAGAATAAAAAACACCCATCGAGYTATTGTCAAAAACGACTTACTCTTTTATCGATAAAGCAATGCTGTCATTATCATTATCATATTTGATAATATCTATTAGGACAGAAAATAWTAAACATTTTGAAGTATATATTTTAGTCGAGTTGTATAGTTCGAAATAATAAACAACCAAAATTATATAAATGATTACCCATTGAGGCAAATTTTTAAAAATAGGAATGAAAAAAAAAACTGAAATTGAAATTTATATAAAAATGTTGAACTTTTATTCCATTTTTAATCTATGGATATAAATAACACACGTGGTAATACTAAAAATCTAAAAGCAGATAGCACAATATTCAGAAGAAAGAACGTTATTGTAAAATATAAATGGTGCAATGCAAGCAATTTCTCAACTTTTTTCATAAGAGAATAAGTTATCTTGCATTATAAGATTTTAAAATGCCTCTCTCTATATAATCCTACTCTATTGATAACATTCCCCGATTCCCTGAATTCAATACAAGATTCTTCATAAGCTTATTTACTTTTATCAGATAAAAAGTGTCTACMGAAAATTTAAATTAAATTGACCGTTTGAATTTCCATGTTTTTCGCATAATGTACATCTTATTTTATGAAGATGAACATTTCAAACAAAGTATTTTTCTCCTGCACACACTGAGTTAAGTTAACCCCGGAACTCCGAAACGATTTATAGTCGATTTTTAAAATGTGTGCTAAAATATGTAATATACTAATATCACACATACTGTATGTAACATACATCCAAATTCGATTTTATCACAAGGCGATAAATTCATATAATATTAATTTMATTTTTTCAGATGACGGCAGTTGCAGTCGTAGAACCCGCCGGCCGTTGGGCGGTAAGGCTGCAGACAGCAATGGTGGCGGTTATGGTGTTGTTGCTGGCGTGGACGCCCGCAGCGTGCAGTGGCGCCAGGATACTGGCCGTGTTCCCGTACAATGGCCACAGTCACTTCGCTATGGTCGAACCGCTGATGGTCGCGCTATCCGAACGCGGTCACCACGTTACCGTGATCAGCCCGTTCCCAAGGCGCAAAGATGGCGGCGGTGGACGCGGGTACGTGGACGTGGACGTGTCGGACACGCTCCCGCCAGTCATCAGCCAGCTGAACGTGACAGAAGAGTTCGAGTACCACGTGGACCCGGTTACCGGGCTTCGGGATCTGTGGCGAATGAACCACCGGGTGTGCGAAACCACTTTCGAACATCCACTAGTCCGTGCGCTGATCAACGAGCCCCGCAACTTTGACGTGGTGTTCACCGAAGCATTCGCCACCGACTGTTTCGCAGCGTTCGCGCACGCATACGACGCACCGCTAGTGTCCATCCGAACGTCCGACTACTCACCGCAGCTCAACCGGTGCGTGGCCAACCCACAAAACCCCGCGTACCTGGTCAACCATCTACTCACGTACACCAGCCGTGGAATGTCGTTCGTCCAACGGGTAGTCAACGCGCTGGCCACGCATTTCGGTGCGGTCGGCTACCACGCTTTCTCCGACGGCCCGTCCACCGAACTGGTCCGGCGGCACTTCGGTCCCAGTACGCCACCAGTTCCTGAGATCGCGCGTCAGCGCACCGCACTCGTACTGGTCAACGCCCATCACAGCTTGACTCAACCCAGACCGACGGTGCCTAACGCAGTAGAAGTGGGTGGGTTGCACATCGCACAGACTGCAGAACTTGAAAACGCGGTCAACGTAAGTATATTATACATTCAGGAGTGGGAAGTCTTGACAGCGCTTCTGACAAACTATACAGGGTGCGAACTAACAATGAAAAAATGCACTATCACAATACCAAATTGGAAAACAAGTTGAAAAATTCTTCAAACTTTMAAACAAAACCATTTTATTTTTATCGGATGCATAATAAATAAATTCAATAAAACATGTAAATTCACTATAATATAGTATAATTATATCCAYAAACCATGTATTATATTATTTATCATAAACATATTATAGTTAAATGTTGATAATATCTTTGTATTTCTTAAACTGGTTATGCAATAGGAATGGTCAGATTACTGCGATTTGTGTGATCAAGGTGTCATTTACGTGTCTTTTGGTTCGTTATTGAAGGGATCRTCGTTTCCGTTACAGTTCACGACGGCGTTCGTGCAGGCTTTTGAAGCGCTACCGTATTGTGTGCTGTGGAAATACGAAGGAGAATTGATGTCTAAACGAATTAAAGTGTCCAAGTGGATGCCCCAACAACAGATCCTGAGTAAGGTCCACAACGGAAATGTAGTCGTTATGCTATATACTTGCATATAATAACGATGACTAATGTTTAAATTGTGGATATTCTTTGAGTAACACAGTAGTCGAATTAATCTCAAGTCTCTATCCATACAATAAAAAAATTCAAAACCATGTAAACATATACAAAATAAATTGAATACAACTTAAAAGACTGTTTTTGACAATTTCAATTACATAAAATTTAAGATCGACTGATTAAGAGTTTCATTTATTTAATTTATGAGAAAATGGTTAAAATTTCTTTCTTCGTAAATTGAGGAGGCCTAGCCGATAGCTCACCTATACATATACGTCTGAAAGATTGAAACTCAAAATGTACCTACTTTCTTAATTCTGGTACGTATATTCGTATACTTACGCCACTCGGAATAATATTATAATATCCTATTCCAATACGTATATTTAAACAATACGATGTTGCAAATAGGTTACTATTAGCACACCACTACTGTTGTCTCGTTTTATTACAATAAACCCGTATAGTCTATAATATAGTCTTTATTTAAACAGTTTAAACAACATTATGGTTGTGCTTTCACAGGTCACAGGAACGTCAAGGCATTCATAACACACGGTGGCCTTATGGGCGTCATGGAGGCTGTGCACTTCGCAGTGCCRATGATCGGTATACCTGTGTTTGGCGACCAACAGTCGAACGTCGCTAACTGTGTCGCAAAAGGCGTAGCCATAGGAATGGACCATCAACAGATAACCGTTGAAAAACTGATCAAAAACATACTAGCCGTCGTCACGGACAGCAAGTAAGAATTAGTCCAATATGTATAAGAATATGTCTGGTGCAAAAACAACCTGTTAAAATAACCCATAGGAAGTCGCTCTGCTATGTATTAGGCGTCGAAAAATCACCGTTATGAATGTGCAATTATTTGCATTATTCTTAAACATTGATACTTTTTGAAATAATGAGTGGTTCATGATAAAAAATMACCCTGTATAATACATAAGTCGAAAAATTCAAATGATAACCTATAAATAGCTTAAAAAGCAAAAATACTTATGCCAAAAAATTCGKACACAAATATTAGGTGAAAAATTTAAGCCTTTGTATATTTAATCATTCTTGAATAAAAAACTAAAAAAACAAAATTGATTTTATACCTATTATAATTTAATTATAAGCAAAAGTTGAATGATTCAAMAATTGTTTCAAAAATAATTTATAAATGCAAATGTATCCACTAACTATATAAAATGACACACTTTTATCACCACGTGACAAGTTTGTTTTTTGCACTTGTACATTGCACAATTTACACAATTTTATAATTTCGTATAATTTATTTAAGATACAAGTCAAAAGTATCTGAGTTGTCGGTAAGATTCAGGGACAGGCCGTCAAGTGCACTGGAAACGGCTGTGTTTTGGACTGAGTACGTGATCAGGCATGGCAACGCCACCAACACTGCATCTCTGGCGATAAATTTAGATATTTACCAATATTTTTTGTTAGACGTAGTCGGTGTTGGGCTATCGATTTTGGTATTTTTATTTTACATAATGTTTCGAATAAAAAAATGTATACGATAAAATATTATAAATATAACAGTGTGTTATTAGTGACGCAATTAATAAAATCTGTAAATACCCAAAATGTAAATAGGTATACATTTATTATTATAATTATTATAACTAATAATGACACGTTTTATTATGTTATCTACTATACCATATTCAATAATATGCTATATGCATAAACMATATCAAATTAATTTACTAAGTTTATCACCACTGCAGCTAAAATGTATTTTTTTACAATATTATACATAAGTAAATATAATAATATAATAAAATGTATATACTATATAACATAAACAAATTKAGCAATAATTCTGGAAATAAGTATAATTTGTTTTTAAAAATTTCCCATTTGGCTATTATATTATAAGTAATACCTATTGTTAATCAATTAGTATAATTAAATGGCGTAACATATTGTATTCGATGATATATATTTAAGCGACTGCTTCTTTTTTACTCATCCACTCTTCGATTTCTTCGACACTAAAACAAAACAACGTATTAAAAACAGAAATTAACATTACCTACCACAGTTAGTAATTACTACATAGTTAATGCTACACCGACGTGTGCGAACTCTCTTACATATTTCCCCAAGAACCAATAATGCGATACTAAAAAAACTAAGCTACCTATGGTRTTACCCACCGTGGCACTTTCAATAATAACGTATTATGGGCCACAATATTGAATACAATTATTTTTTTCTGATCATAAAATCGAAAAAATTAACTAATGATAATAATTCTAAGGCTAGGATTGATATGTAATATAAAATAGTAAAATATGTATTTACATTGTTAGAATAGTTAAAATGCAATAAAAATACAAGGCATTTTACCATTAATTTTCCCACCATAATTAAATGAAAGAGCGTATAGTACATATCTAATAATTTTAAAATGAAATGAATACATTTACATTTTATGTAGGTAAGCTAAACAAGTTTCCGTTGGTCTTGTACTTTTAATTAGTTTTAAATAACCCTATAGTGTTTTCAATACATTTTTACATTTTGTTTCATCAGTCAAAAAAATGACTGAGTTCATGAAATTTAAATAAGGACCGTATACAGATATGTCAAAGTATCTAGCCTTTTACACTACTTCAATTTATATAATATACAATAAAACATGAATTTTTCTCATTTAAAATTAAAATATTTAATGATATGCTTTATACTTGTTATGCATGGTTCCTTAATTATAAAAAATAGATAATTTGTATCAATATTAATTGATTCGTGCTACCACTGACATCAAATAAGCAAATTTTTCAAAGGATGTTAAGAAAAAAAACATATTAATGCTCATAAATCTTAGGCTTAGTTATCATTATTTATCGTTAAACTCGGTAGCAAGCATTATTTTAGTCTAGTAATATATAATAGGTCAAAATCCGTTGGGGTATAATATATAGATTAAGCGGTCTTTTTATAAACCAATAGGTGTACAGAAACGGCAAACATACACGTCGGTGTCCCACAAACTTTAAACTTACGTTCTTGGTACTGGGGTGTAGTTTTCTATTCCATGTTTTGTAACGAAAATGTTGTCTTCAATGCGGATGCCACCAAACTTCCAAAACCGTTTTAGCACTTTTTCATTCAAGAACTTGGATTGTATTGGATCATTGAGAGCCCGCTTTAACAGCTGAAACATTCAGACGATGAAGTTTGAAATCACAGTTTCGTTCTTAAATTGAACAGATATACCGAAACACACATTTGGAGTTGGAGGGGTTAATTTAGAAATTGGGTGATCTTAGTTAACAAAAAAAAAAAACATTTCATAATAAATTGCCTAATCCAAAAGATGTTRGCAGAGGGATTATCTCCACCCCCTCCAATGTTCAGCGTACATAATATACGAATAAAAAATTTACACAGCGTCACGGATGCAACATCACACCCCCCACATTAGAATGAACAAAATAAATAAAAACATCAAATCAATTCAAATTTCAAAAAATGTATAGTTATACCGGTTCGATAAAATAACACCCTGGCTCAACTGTGAGTGCCATGCCTTCTTCCAAGTTTCTAGCCGTTCTCAGGGACTTAACGCCTGGCTTTAGCGGCCTGTCCGGATATCCTTCCAAATAACCGCCAACATCGTGCACGTCGATTCCCAGTAGATGCCCCAGCCCGTGTGGTTGGAATATGGCGCCGAGACCTGCTTCATACATTTCGTCGACGTCACCACGAAGTAAATCAATTTCACGCAGCTYTCTAAGCGTGACTTTGTTGGCCAGTATGTGCATGTCCACCCAGGAAACGCCTAAAACCACACTACTTTAATGTCAGGCTCAAACAATGATAGATACTATTACGTGTTTGGAGAAACGGGGGGGAGATTGTCATTCTTTGATATGCAATGATTGCACCAGTTATAATGAGCAACCATATTATAGAAAGGTACGTTAATGTATTACTTACATAKATATATATCATACGTAAATATGATGAGCAATTTAAGCCAATTAAGAAGTATACTATATGAACCGTCTTGCTTATTGAGAAAAAGAATCATATTACTACATCATATTACTAAATAATAAATAAAACTCGATTATATTACTTAACCTATAGGTATATTATTTTTATGATAACGAAACTAAGGTTAACAAAAAACAACATTACAAAATTAAAATAGAATTTATTTCAAAATCATAGTTGGAAATTTAAGTCAGGCTGGAGGAATTCAAGTGAGCCCATAAACAGCTAAGTAAATGYATACCTGGTTTTATGGCATTCATAACGGCACGACTGGCCGCAAGCACAGCATTGTAAATCGCGCGTTGATCATCGGTGAACTTTCCATTAGCCGGAAACGATACAGTCACGTCTGCCGTATAGCCACTGTATGATGCTCCCATGTCAAACAGACTGCAAACCGACATATACACATCCAATATTTATTTCGATAACTAATATAATATTAAATGAATAACCGTTAAACTAATAATTAATATACTCATCAATTATCGTATTGTACTATTGTATCCAATTGATAAGTTTATAGTACTTATCATTCATAAATCCATACACAATGACAGCGCTGTGCATAATTATAATARTAAACGACTATTCTTATTTTTTTTAAAGGAAGATTTAAGCCCTCTCCCCTCAACTGAAATTCAATTAAATCTCCACCAATGTATATATACTTAGGATATGTGGCTTTTTTTCTTAATAAGTATAAAAAAATGYTATATTTTCTTTGCCATCTTACCAGACACTAGACAGTATATACGTTGACAATATTTATAAAAACGGATAATTAAGAGATTATTCACACGGGCCATACTAAACAAAACAAATTTAATTTTAACTTATCTATAGTASGTCTATATTAATACGCCAATATGGATCATTTACAGTTAAGAAAAAAAAACAAATATGTACACGCTGTAACGAAAACAATTTTTGTAAGCTATTATTACCGACCTACAACAGATAGAGTAGATGTTTATCATCCGCCGTATCGTCATGAGTCATGAGTCATGACTAAAGTATACATTATATTTACTGCACGACTTATTTTCTATAGACTCCAGGTGTGGTGTTCTACCACCAAAAAAATATAACAATTTAGATAATATACAGGATGGGATTCGCCTAACATTGCTCACCACCATTTTTGCTTAAACAATGGATTTGTTAAAATTCTGATTTTTAGATATACAATCCTAAAGTTCTAGTAAGTTTCTAAATCAAAATTTAAACGATATTAAGTTCTTAGTAATTAATATGTTTATTCTAATAAAAATAATTCTAAAAAATAGTTATGCAAAAATATTGTTTATGTATTACCAATTTAATTTTATATTAATTAGTTATTACACTCAGTTATTTTTTAATATAAAATTATTTAATATAATAAAATGTTAATATATTAGTATTAATTACTATCATTTTCAAATCGTCATGTCACCCACGCTTTCATAGGCCTATAATAATATTATATTATCCTTATAGTACGCAAAGTTAAATAATAAAAACACTACTTGACTTCTTCGGTCTACAATTTAAATACATCAACATATAATATTTTTAAAAAGTTATCTTGTGCCATTTTACAAGAAAGAAGGGTGATTATCATCTTAAAAAAGAAGTTGTTATTGCCAAAATTGCCTTAGATCATTCCTTAAATAATATAAAAATCTAAGTATTTGAAAATATAGTCTTCAAGTATAACTAAAAGTTAGGTCATATATTATATTGTATTTATTAGATTTTTATAATTTAATAATTAATATTTTATTACTACGGTGTACTTGATCGTTCTCGAATCACGACCTCGAGAACCCTCCGACGATTAGGAGGAAGGTAATAGTGCAATTTTAATATTTATATCTGGTAGCTTATTCTCCAGCTCTTATACGRGTAGAGAACAATACAGATCYTTTAGTGTAACTCAATAAATCAACCAAACATCATTTTTATTTCTAATATCCTCATATCTTMTACTAGTAATRTATAACTATTGGCAGGAGCCTTAGTTATATAATAGTTGTATTAACTTAAATATTTTAGTTATATTATTATTTATTTTAGAGTATTATTTTTATTATATTCATTTCTTTTCTTTTATTTTTACGTTATTACAAAATTCTAAATACAGACTTTTAATAAATTCATTATTAAAGGAAAACATGGTGAGCATGTTTGAGTATAGATCCTGTAAATTAAACAGTAATTTTTGAGGGACACTATATACTGCACGAAATACAAAAAAAAACCTAAGATTTACATATTTATTAAATTTAAACTGTATCGATCTCGTTCTGTGTTCTTTGTGCAGTTGTGTCCAATGTATAATAGAGTCGCTGATGTCAAAAACTAAATATTTTATTYAATTTTTGACACATGCCTACACTAAATGCTAATTTTATTCTTTATGGTTTTGTACATATATTATGGATCATAGCCACATAGGAAAAGTTCAACAACGATGATGAATGATAAGAATCGCCACTTTCTACGAAAACCTAAATTGGCTAAATTGTATTCTTAGTCATCGACTCATCGTCAGGGGCAGGTCAGGTATGCTAATTTGTAATGTGTCGTAAATCACATCGAGTCGACTCAACATATTGGCCACCGAAGGCACCTGTATAATTAGGTATATTATAATATACAATATATTTGAATAACTACCCGAAAAACTAGGTTTTCATAGAGGCTAGTTACCTCCCGATCCGCCTCGCCACTGGTCATCGCGATATATATACGTACTCAAACAATACTTAATAGGTATAGATATAGACATATAGYTTTAAATACATGTGTCAACATCTTTAAGTATAAACAAAATCTTATGCTAGATTTATTATTTTTATTATTTTATTTTTATTTATGTATATAGTATTATACCACATGTCGCCGTCATGTATCTCTTTAGAGTTGGGTTCCATGGCATGTCCGTAGTGCAAGATGGCGCCGTTCATACCTGAACAGCATATGTTGTTATAGCCCACGTGCCTGCACCCCCCAACATAATAAGCGTAATGAAGAAAGTTGGCTTCGCATTGATATTCGTACATGATCGGCTTACACTTCGCCATCACGGACTTGTGAGCGTTGCAGGTAACTTTCGTTGCGTACCTCATGACTTCTTTTTCATAATCAGTTTTGATAACACGGCTGAAACATAAATTATGAYATAGGTACTTATATAGACTTAATGCTATTATATACTGAATATATTAGGTATTATTAAAATCGCATTGTTTGTGTTTTTATTTTTTATTTTGAAATAGTTGCGATGTTATTTATACTCATACACATTTAAATTAGATTTTTAAACAGTTTATGGTTATAACTTATAATCAATAATTTAATGGATTCAAAAAAGAAACGTTTAAAATGTTAAAACATAAAATTATTTGACGATAAAGTAATTAGCTTCGTTAAACAACTAAAATATTTTGCAATCAAATTATATTCCTATATATAATATAATGAATAATGATAATACGATGCGTCATTATAAATTAAGCTCCTTGAAAAACAACTTCTATTATTTTATATTATTTTGTGTTATAATATGTTAATTATGTTACAAGGTACATATTATTATACTAACACAAAAACAAAAAAATGAATTCTGTATAGTTTTGTGGGCCAATGAGAATAGCTATAAATACAATGATTTATTATGATACTTGAAAAACGATTTTGAACAGAATTAGGTTAAATAATTTCAGTCCTAAAGGCAAAAATATAGACTTCCTAGCGTAAAAAATATTGACAATCAAATAACAGCATAATATAGAATTTAATTGAACATTTATTTTAAACAGATTCGTCAGGTACTTAAAACGTATAACTAAAGAAATTTAAATACATGTGGTATATTTTCAATTCGTAATCGTATCTCGTATGTAATAATACCAAACAAAATAAAAATATAATTATTTAATTAACTCAATTTGTTTTATATKTTTATGATATAATAATATGCTATATGCCTATATATTATATATTATGTAGCCAGTTAATCCATTTTTTTGGAGTTTGATGATCTTTCCTGTCTTGTGTTCTAACTTAACCTTGAAATTAATTCGTAAACGCCGACAGTGGATGCGACAAACAATAATCGCTCGCCACTCTACCGGAATTTAATAAATATTTATTAATAGAATAGACGTCAGCAGACAAATATTAAACGCACGAATGATAATATGGCATGTTATTCTTATTATTCACAAACATGATTTGAAATATAAGACACACGACAGTTATTATACACTATGGCGTGTTCAATAAACAACAATATTTTTAGAACGTTCGAGGCAAAAATTAAAGATTCGCACACATAATTTTATTTAAAATAACATAGAAAGGACAGGTAGTGATATCTAGCAATCTAGCGGTAAAATTATTATCACCGCACTGAATTTTCAAACAAATGAATAAAAGCCGAAACCATTATAGCACAGATTATATAAAATAATATATATATTATATATTATATTTTATATAATCTGTGATTATAGTGTAACGCACGACGGTCTTAGATTAAACGTAGCGCTTGCAGTACATGGAAAAATGTAGCTCTATCTATTTAAAATATTTAGCATTTGTAACACATATATTTATTTGCATATTATTTTTATTTATAATTGCAATACTTTAATACTTAGGTCTTAATAGCTTTTAATCTACAATTATTTTCAACAATACTTTAAAATTGAATCAATACTACTACAGTGTATATTATGTACTTAAAAAAAAAAAATTTTTAGTTACATATATAAGTAAAGATTATCAAAGAATTAATAAAGTTACAAGGATATATTTATTTTTTAAACAGTAGTACAGTACCAAACGAATAACGATGATCACTAGACACTGATGTATTAATATTTCTTAGAATAGATYATAGATGGCGTTAAAATCGCACTTGAACCACAGAATAGATTTAATTTAATTTAATTTAATCTATTCTGTGCTTGAACTAAGGCACTATAAATGTGCCCTACTTGAACCAGAAGCGTTACACTGTAGTTCCATAGATAACTATCTCGTTTCCAGTCCTGTTTATATTAGTCCGTGATTATTACTGTTATAACCACAGATATATAAAAATATATCTGTGGTTATAACTAACCGTCATTGGTAACAATATTTAATCTGATAACCATATTATCGTCTATTATCATCTATTATCAATTTAGTATTACAGATTCACGATAAGCAATCGAATATTAAAACTCGGTGCTCTCATTTAAGTATGTAATAAATAATAATAAGATATTTACATATTTTTAACCTATTAAACAGCATAGCGTTAATGTAAATTTTACTAAATTTAAATATAATTTAAAATAGTATTTTCATTATGTTTTTTCTAGTATTTATTTAGTTTTATGATTATTAAAGTTTTTGATATATTATAATCAAATATGTCAAGAATAGTAATCCAGCGATTATTTTTTAATAGAGTGAACTATTTAAATGTATTAAAAATGATAAACGTCACACAAAACAGATATAAAGCTGAGAAATTCGGACATACGTTTGTGTTCATTCAAGAAGGAGCTGAAATTAGAGAACTACCACTGATTGTGCGAAATGTATGTAGCAACGAAATATGCTGTAATGAAGAATGTACTGGAATTGGAGAAACAGGAATTAATAATGATGAAATAGTCAATAAATTAAATAATCTGAAAAATGTAACTGATCGCAAAAAAGCAGATGAAGAAATTGTAGATGTTATTCGAGGATTTAAAAAATGTTCTTCCGTCAAATCACTAGTGGATCTACTTGAAATAGTAATGCTAGATGACATAACCCCAGTCGTAGCACTATGTGCTCTTAAAAAAATAGTGGAACTGGAGAATTTCAAATTCCATGTAACAACAAATAAATTATCATCATTTTTAGATACCAAACCAAATATAGATTATACCAAAACACCAATATTAGAAAAACTGCTGGAAATTATTATGAAAGGAGATAATAACTCTGCTGTTGTTGGAACACTAGAATTAATACCAATCGATCGTGTTCGAGTATTGCCTTTTGACAAATTTAAAAATAAAATATCTGAAGAAATTTTATGCCGAGTAACTGAAAATAAACTCAACATAGATGATTTATGTAGATCAATCGATGCATTTTCAAAATTAAATGAAGTCAAGACCGCAGACCAGCTTTGGATTGGAATAATGGACAAATCTGATCAAATTAATGAAAAAAATGTAATTCAAGTTTTCAGAATTTTACACTTGTTAAAAAAAAGTAGAAAAACCATTATGAACCTATTAGAGAGACAATTGAAACGCTTTTGGTACCATCTTAATGCCAATGAGTTAATAGAAATGCTGTATATAATACGATTAACAAAATGTAATTCAAATATTATCTTAAAGACAACATCTAGATGGATTAATACAAACATACATGCAATGAGTGAAAATGATCTAACTTCAATTGTAAATGAGTTAAATAATACCAACTATGTGGATATTGGTATTGTAAGAGCATTAGAACGCTATGTAAAAGTCAAACACAGCACAATAAACAGTCCTTTTTTAATGGTAGAAATTATGAACTAYTGTTCAAAGTTTAATATTCATTCAGAAAATATTTTTGAAGGATGTGCCAAATACATAATTCAGTTTGGTTCTAATTTAACTCCTTCTCAATTTAGAGATTTGTTCTGGCCATTTGGTCAACTCAACTACAAACCTAAATCTGCTTTAGAATTTTGGATAAAAGTGGAAAATATAATGAATAAAGAGTTTTATAACTTTAAGACTCAAGAAACCATTGATATATTATTATCTTGTGTTTATTTAGAGAAACATCCATTAAACTTTGTCCACAGGGTATTTAATGCTTCCTTTTTACATAATTTATATGACGAAGGAGGTAAAAATGACTATACAAGAGTAAAACTAAAAGTTATTGATCAGTGTATGACATTAGAGTGYGATCACTATCGAGGGCCAGTGTTACCTAAGGATAAATTTGCAAAGAGCCTTTGGTGCGACTATAGAATAAAACAGCTTTTAAAAGAAATTAATAGCGCTCTAGAAAATACTTTCCAAGGCAACAAAATTTCTTATTCAACAATTTTAGGCCAACTACCACTTATGAGTATTTACATAATTGATGCTTTAGTACACCCAGTTAAATTTGAACTTAACAATAGATACATTAACTTCAAGAAACAACCTGGTCTATGCACTGTGATTTTAGTTCATTTGCCTGAACACTACTGCTGGGAAAAAGAGCACTTGACTGGTATTGAAACCACTAGAATACGACATTTTCGAAAAATTGGATTAAATGTTATGTCCATCAACTATAAAAAAATATTAGAACTTAAATATCCTGCTGAACTAACAGAGTATATTAACAATAGGTATAAAAATATGTTAACTCCTTATTAATTTAATTCAAGAGACTGTGTACAAATACTATGATTATTTTTAATAACTCACCAATCTGCTATGATTTTATGTAATATTTTGTTGTCCAATGTAAACCTTAATTTAAAATAATATAGTTATTATAATTAATATAATGTTAAATTTACTGTTTTTAATTTACTTGTCTATTCCTTCGAAATGTGCTTCTTTACATGTCTTATCACTATCTGTGTTTTTTCCATACTAAAAAAAAGAAACAAGTATTGTTTAAAATTAACTTTAAAACGTAGGTACTGCACAGCTATATTATATRAGGTGTCCAGGTGATCACTATAATGGAGATATTAAATTTGAATTGAATGATTTTCTGAGCAAAGTAGAACTGGCAGCCTATGTTACTAACTCTATACATTAATTTATGATATTCGAAGCTGATTCAAAAATAATATTTTTTAAATACAACAAAATAACTCTACTCTCTGCATCCAAGGTGACCCTAGTAGAAGTTTAAGACAAAAATGGTGTCTGGATCTCCTCACTGAATAAAACCCATTCACAACTTCAAGAAGTTCCATTGCTGGATGGACTCTGCGCTCAAGTCATCAGTCCCTCTTTTATTTTATTTTATTTTATTCTTATAATATTTCTAACCTTACAACACTTATAATTATCATAAAATATTAAATTTACAGATTGTATAATAAAAAAATTATATACAAAAAAAAATACAACAACAAAATAACTAATTTCTTCCAAATTTAAATCTAACATATCATACAAAATAAAAATCATGTTTGTATGATAGTTTTTAGAATTTTTTAGTTACAGTATGAACTACTTATGAGGAGCCTTGTTTTAAATTTTAAATTTATACATTTTGTAAAAATTTGAACTCTTTATATGCTTATAAAAAAAAATCATGACTATTGACTATGTATTTTCAATATTCATAAACTGCTATTTTAACAACGTATAAATAAACTTGTATTGATTTTAACAATTTTATTGACATTAATAGAAAWAATAGAAAACTCCAAACCTCTATAAATAACCCAAATAGAGTCAAAATATTTTAGAAATTGTATTATATATAGGAAATGATAAAATAAACATTTGTTGTAAATTTCAAATACCTAAGGTTATTCCTTTTTGAACTTCAAACGCTCATAAAAAAATGATTTAACTTTCCGGAGGGAGAGGGGGTGTTAATTTACAAACAATTATACTCCAAACATCATCAATAAATAAATGTTGTACACTATGTAACTTTCAAAAAAAATTAGGAGGTTGTTAATAATCATAATAAAAATCAATTTATAATCTTAAATATTTTAATACAGATATATTTTTTTATTGGTTTTAATTACCGTAAATTAAAA